TTGAACTGAGAGAAGCCCTGCTAAACAACAACATTATACGATTAGCCATTCCGAAGTTGGCGTGTGGACTCGATGGTTTGAGTTGGCGTACAATCCGGAACATGATTGAAGTCTTGTTCAGATTTACGGGAATCGAGATCCTCGTTTGCTGCTACAACCCAAAACTGAGATCGGGAGAGAAAACTGTAGACTGCTATTTCTACCAGACTTCTCAATGTACCAGGGGCCAGCTTTGCAAATACCTTCATTCACCGTGTACATCTCGGGACGAGCATGTACCTAATAAGGGGGCAGTGTTGCGGACCCGTGTGGATTCGACCTAACCTAACTATATGTCCCGCCCTCAGATATCCTAGAGAGGGCAGTTATAAATAGACAAGTACAGTTGACGCGCTAAAATTCAAAAATAAATTCTTAGTTATAAATCGTTTGTAAATAGTTCTTTAAGTCTTTTATCGTTATTGTTTTTGTTAATTAGTGTTAAATAAATAGTGTTTTTTTAAATAAATTGTGACTTTCTATCCACACGGAACCGACGAAAAACGTAACACTATTTTAGTTCATTAGGATTTATGTTCAAAAAATCCGCCATTGTTTCGAGTTGCATCTTTTTAAAACTGAATTACTACCTATTCTCACAGAAGGACCGGTCGACTTAATTAAACTTTTCTCGTACCGCCACTTCAAGTGCCTCTCTGAATTCTAAAGTTCTTTTGTAAACCTTATTGTTAACCATACCGTATAAAAAATTCTAAAATGGATAGGTCATGTGATCGAGGAGGCCCATGCAATTAGTGCACCTCTTCCTATCCCTGCGTTTGCATAATTATGATATAAATAATTTTTAACATTTTTTTCATTATGGGGGGTGGGGGTGGTGTACCATAATGAAAGTCATATTGGAACCACTTTATTGATGCGCGAGTATATACACGTTTTTCTTCATTGGAAAAATTCATATTTACAATTTTTGTTTAATTTAATTTACAAAGTTTGGATGTGGCAGCTTCACATTTATAAGAGCAAAGACGATTGTTTCCATGGCTAACTAAGTGAAATTGTTTAAAAATGATAAGAATTGGCTGTGACTCAGTAATTTTTCGAAGAAAAGATATTATTGCTTATATCACAAAAAAGCTTAAAAATGGCGCTTTTTATGAAGTCATGGCCAACTATGGTTTCTATTTAAAAAAAACATATGTTTGTATCATATGTCAAAAATGACAGGCTTTAGAAAAAAGCGGAGGACACGATCTCTTTACGAATGTGATTATCTACAACTTTTATCTGAAAACTTTTTGTCTAAAATAGCTTATAATGGAATCAGGGACAATTTTTAAAATAGCCGAAATTTGTTTTTTTCGAAATATCTAGTAAACCATGAACTTTTTCAAAAATCTGAAAGGCGCATATTTATGACCCCACAAAACTGCAATTCTTTCCCCATTTAACCGACTCCCTATCTCCAGTAGTTTCCGAGATACCCATAGAGAACATCGTAGGAAACTCACTCTGTATATGATTTTCTTCCATTATAATTTAAACATTTATCAAGGATGCATATTAGCGAGAGCAATAAATACTTCAATTTTTAATTTTTACGTACAAATAATACACACTATGTTGAATATGTTAGAAACAGAATAGCACAATTCAGAACAGATAAGTGTAACATCTCTCAAATTTTGATAAATGGCTTTTATAAGAAAATCAGGTAATACCAAGAATATTATAGTTATACGTTTAAAACAAAATCTATATAATATATTGCCGTATTATACAGGGTGTTTCAAAACAAATGCGAAAAACTTCAGGGGGTGATTCCTTGTTCAAAATAAAGGGTAGTTTGCTTTATAAACGTTGGGTCAAAAGTCAACCATTAGGGAGATATCGCGGTACAAAGATGGCGGAAAAATAATGTTTTTATTCTTTATCTTGAAAACGAAAAACGATAGACTAATGAAATTTTATGGAAGCATTACTGTTATGAAAACATACTTTGTGGTAATTTTCTCACTTTTTTAAAATGAGTGGAAGGTGTTGAAATAAACTACCCCTATCATTCTTGTTAACGAAATTAAAAAAAATTATCAAACACATGCAAAAATTAATTTGGATAGTTTAGTTTGTTTAGAAACTTTTTTCTCTCTTGTGTTTTTGATAAAACTCACCGAAATGAAATTGTGGATAAAATGTAAAGCATTACATATCAGGACAAAAAACATTTTTAGATAAAGAATCTAGTGGGCTGCTCTAATTTTTTAGGAAAAATCTAGTCGGCCGCTGTCACTTTTTAGGATGTTTCTAATATTATTTTATTGACATTACTCTACTGCAATACGTTATTATCTAGATTCTTATTATTATCGTTATTATCACTAGATTCTTTATCTAAAAATGTTTTTGATCTTGACATGTAATGCTTTACATGTTATTTTTTAATTTCAAATCGGCGAGTTTTATCAAAGAAACACAAGAGATAAAAAGTTTCTAAATAAACCAAGCTATCCAAATCAATTTTTTTGCATGTGTTTGATAAGATTTTTCTTTAAATTTCGTTAACAAGAATGATAAGGGTAGTTTATTTCAACCCCTTCCACTCACTTTAAAAAAGTGAAAAAATTACCAGAAAGTGTGTTTTCGTAACAGTAATGCTCCCATAAAATTTCATTAGACTATCTCTTTTCTTTTTCAAGATAAAAAATAAAAACATTATTTTTCCGCCATCTTTGTACCGCGATATCTCCCTAATGGTTGACTTTTGACCCAACGTTTATGAAGCAAACTACCCTTTATTTTGAACAAGGAATCGCCCCCTGAAGTTTTTCGCATTTGTTTTGAAACACCCTGTATATTTTAATATAATTTGATTAAACAGTTATTGTATAAAATATAAAATATTTTATTTTTGTAAAATAACGTCCCGGCACAGACTAACTTATTTTGCCTGGGCTTCTACTGATACAGGAATTTTCCGCAGGATACTCTTCCTTATTGTTCAATATATTTTAAATTATTCATGAATTTTTCAATATTGCATTTAATATTAATTGTTATTCTTTACATATTTGTTTGTTTGCCTTTAAAAAAACGTTTTAAAATACTAAAAGTAAAAATCGATTTGAATAGTAATAGGTCAATATTTCAATAATAAAAAAAGTAAGAGCTTTATACTCTTACAGTATTGAATATGTAAAATAATCTACTGTCTAATCTATTTAATCATTAATTATTCAAAGATTTATTTGCCGTAGGATTTGTTATTGACGTAAATTATATGTTATTATTATATTATTATAATATTAATTATTAAAAGAGAGTTGCTATATGGGTCAAAAACGTGACATATAATGAGGGACAATAAAATAAAAATAAAGAAAATTGGAATACATATATCGAGACAGTGCTTGGATGTACCTAGACAGGCGAGGATGAAAACTGAAGAAATTAGAACATTGACGGGGGTAAAAGAACTGTTGCTAAGTATTACTATGATAATCGGAGTAAGCTAACTGATATGGTATGGTAACGCATGGTCTACTAACAATTCAAACCGTACCTATATAGTATAGTTACTTGAGGTCATGTAATACGTATAAACCGCGATAACCAGACGAATAGGACTGACTTGGACCACCTATGGACGACTGAAATACATTTTCAAAGGAGTACTTCCGATATGGTAGAAGAGTTGAATTTCTTTAATTAGTGTGTACTACCTGTTCTAGCGGAGACCCTAACATTAACAAAAAAACAGCAAACAGAATCAGAATAACACAAAGATCAATGGAAAGGTCAATGTTGGGTCTATCTCTGAGAGATAAAGTACCCAATACCGGAGTAAGGGACAAAAGTCACAGACGCCATATAAAAAAACTACAACTTTTAAATGGAATTGGATAGGGCACATTGCATAGCGAACCGATGATTGATGGACAAAGAAAATTATAGAATGGGGACCAAGACACGATGCAGGAGCAGATATAGTTCAGGAGCAGACTGACATAACGACTTAAGACGCATCCACAGTAACTGAATGCAAATTACTTAAGATGTATGGAAGCAAAAGAGGGATGCCTGCGTCCAACAGTGGACTTTAGTGGCTGGTTGATAATACCGTAGAAAGAGGAGAAAACCAAAGAGAGCCTAACGGAAGGAATAAATAAAGCTATGAGGGCCACAGACTAATGAGAAATGATAACTGAGAAGCACCAAGACGTATAACGATGCCGGATGCCAGATGGGACTAACCTGTCCCTTATACCAGGTATCCTCCACTGTCTGTGGTCATGTATCACGGCGAGAGGGTGTGGGGGGGGGGTCTTAGCTTAACAACCTCACCAAAAACCTAAATCCTATGATGGCGGTACCAGGTTACAGGGATGCGTGGCTAGATAGAAGACTAGCCTCTACTACCTTGGGGTACCAGGCAACCCATTGTATATTGGTCTCCCTTACTTTTTCATGCGGGGCTCTGTTGAAGTGGACCGACTAACCCTTGCAGTGTAATTGGCCTCCTCATATCCAAGGAGGCAATAGAGAAAGAGACCAGACCCTCCAGCCTCCACCTCACGGGTACCTCAGCCGGGGACAAGCTTCTCGACTGTGATGGACACGGAGGGCTAAACCCTAACCGTGAAAGGGTACTGAACTGATTCGCAGGAGGTAGATGCCCACTCCTCGGAGGATGAGCATATGTTGTCAGAGGAGGATGGGAAATAACCTGTCTTGTCTTCCCTACAACAGGTAGATCCCCATGTATGATGAGTTATAGAATATATGATGAGCTATAACTCAAGAAAGGGGGACACAATAGATCTTTAAGGTCGCGGTGATTAACCCCCCTCTTACTCATTTTACATACAAGCGTTATAGATTGAATTACATATTTATACAAAAAAACGTTGAGTGAAAGAAGATAAAAATTTAAATTTTTATTCTTGTGACAATGACCTGTTCCAAAAAAGTTTAGTTTATAATCTAATCTGTTTTTAATTTAGCTAATGGCTATGCTAGAGCGGACGGAGTGGTCGTGTTCTTCCTTCAAAAAGCTTCTGCCGCTAGAAGATCTTATGCTTCCATTGAGCATATTGGAACTAGGTTCGATGGTAATGGCGAAGGAAATATTTTAAATACAACTGTTCCAAATTTAGTAGAGTTTCTAAATGAGTTCTACGAAACATCTCCAGTAAAACCGGAAGAGATTCAATTTTTAGAAACCTATGGATCAGGTTTAAAGGTATTTTTAAGATAATTATTATACTTTACACTTTTTTTATTTATTAATTTAATATAGGATTTGGACGAAAAGGAACTTAATGCTCTAGATCAGGTTTATGGTAAGAACAGTAAAGAACCACTTCTTATTGGTTCTGTGAAAACAAATGCTGGGCACAGTGAGGCCTCGTCTGTTATGTTCTCAATCGCAAAAGTTTTGGTAGCAATGGAGCATGATAAGATTCCAGCAAATTTACATTTTAAGACACCCAATCCCAACGCTAAAGGTTTAGTGGAGGGAAGGATGGAAGTTGTTACTGAAAACAGGTACGTAGATTTCATCCTATACTAGGGTCGACATTTTTGGCTTTGGGTGTCGATTTTCGTGTGCAGGAAAAGTAAGGTCAATACACTCAGTAAAATAAGTACTGAATAAAGAAAGAAGAGCAAGTATTTTTTCAAGCGCATGAAATCTAGCGTCGGATTAACTGGTTATATAATAAATACTTCACATTTTTGTCTCTCTCATTTTTCTCTTTTTTTTCTCTCTTTTTTTTTCTCTCCGCCCTATTAGATCGCTATAGCGATTCACTCCTAGACACGTAAACACGTAAACGCCGAACCAAGGTTTTGCTTGATAGTATGGTATAATTCAGGGGGTATTCTTATTAGGGTTAAGATAATGTTTAAACCGAGTTTTAAACATTTTTTACACACATATTTAAACCAGTTTAAAACAACTAATGATGTTTGAAATACATTTAACAACACTAACAACACTTGTTGTTAAACAAAACCTTTAAACCATAACAACACTGATTCTTATACATATACTACTATGACATATTCGATTTTTTGATAATTGAAAGAATAGTATATAGTAGAATGTAGAATGTAGAATGTTTAGGAGGGGAGTTAATCACGGCGACCTTATAAATCTATTGTGTGTTCCCCTTTCTTGAGTTATAACGAGTTATAACTCATCATACAGTCTCAGGGCTTTAAGAAAAGCCAGTAACTGAGACGGCTCCACAGAGGCCAGCTCTCCATCCTCGACATCAGACGTACCAAGGTTCATGGCACGAATGGTCGTCGTCTCGGCGCACTCAGTGATAAGGTGTTCTGGTGTTTCCCCATTTTCCCCACAAAATCTGCATTCGCCGTTGTTTCTCAGTTTCAGCCTACTGAGGTGTTCGTTGAGGAGACAGTGTCCTGTTAGAAACCCCGTGACAATCCGAAGATTGTTTTTACTTAAATCAAGGAAAACCTTTGATTTTTCTCGGTCATAAGTTCTAAGGAACTTTTTCGAGTGTCTTAGACCGTTGGAGGACACCCATTCCAAGTTACGGATGGAGTCTTCCAGATTCTTCAGTTCCGCTTTCAGTTGGTTCCCGTTTGGAAAACAGAACGGTTCTGGTCCAGTTAGTGGAGTGTTCGCTCCTTTTCTAGCTAGATCACTTGCTTTTTCATTGCCTTCTATCCCTTGGTGAGCAGGCACCCAGAGTAGGAGGACTTTATTTTCTTTGCCTAATTTGTTGAGCTTCTCTAGGCATTCTTTGAGCAACTTCGAATTGATGGTTATTGAGTTGATCGCGTTAAGTGCTGCTTGACTATCGGATAGGATGGCAATTTTCTGTTTTCGATAGTTCCTATCTAAGATAAATTGTACGCATCTTTCGATAGCGCAAATTTCTGCCTGAAGGATACTGGGGTAGGTGCCCATTGGCTCGGAGTATTCAGTTTTCGGCCCAAATACTCCTATCCCTGTCCCTGCTTTGGTTTTGGAAGCATCAGTATACCACGTGATGGTATGGTCTTTTATATGCTGAGTAAGCGTTTCTTTCTTCCAATCCTTTTTATTACTCAATACTACAGTGAGGTGTTTCTCAAAGTTGTAAATTCTTGGTATGTCATCCACTGGGAGTTGGAGAAGTGGAATTTTCTTTTTGAGGGTGTTCCAAGCCCCTGACCTGAAAATTCTCCCAGTACTGTTTCCGTCAATGACCATTCTAATCATTGTCGCATTGGCATAACTACCGACGACAATATGCAGTGGTGTTAGGTCTAGAATGACCTCCATTGCTGCTGTTGGACATGTTCTCATGGCACCTGTGATGCAGATACATGCCAGTCTCTGTACTTTGCACAGGGTTTGCCTTGCTGTACGTTGCTCTAGTTTTGTATACCAAGCAACTGCTCCATAAGTAATCATGGGTCTTACTATCATGGTATACATCCAGCGCAAAATGTTAGGGGCGCAGCCCCACCTATTTCCCGCCAGTCTTCTGCATATCATGAGAGCCTTTGTGGCTTTGCTGGTAATGTTCTTAATATGCCTGTTCCAGAGAAGTTTACTATCCAGGGTTATTCCCAGATATTTCACTTCCTGTGATGGCAGTATTTCCTTTCCATCTAGATGGATTCTTTTCAAGTTTTTCAAACTTCGCTTTCTGGTGAATGGCACTACTGCGGTTTTATCTGAGTTAATACTCAGCCCGACAGTCCTGCACCATCTCTCAGCGATGCGGAATCCTCTTTGGATAATATCACACAGGGTGCCTTCATGTTTCCCCTGTGCAATGATGACTATGTCATCTGCGTACCCTATGCAGTGTATTCCCGCTAGAGTTAATTCTTCCAGTAGTTCATCCACTACCAAGCTCCACAGTAGGGGGGAGGTCACTCCACCTTGTGGAGTTCCTTGCGTTGTTTTAACAACTACAGTTTTGGTACCTATCTCAGCCTCTGCTGTCGTGTTGAGAGCATTTCCCAAAACCAGCGAATTATCGTATTGTTCACCCCTCTTGTTTCAAGAGATCGCTTGACCACCTTGTGAGGTATATTGTCAAACGCCCCTGCAATGTCCAAGAAGGCACAAAGTGCTGTTTCTTTGCTATCCAGGCTTGCCTGTATTAGTTCAGTTAACTGGTACAGAGCAGTTTCTGTGTATCTGCCCGCTCTATATGCATGCTGACTATCGTGCAGTGGTTTAGATGATTTACTCTAATATGGTTGTCCACTACTTTCTCCATCGTTTTTAATATGAACGATGTGAGACTAATAGGCCTAAATGATTTGGGGTTAGCCCAGTCAGGTTTGCCTATTTTGGGTATGAATATTACTTTCGCTCTTCTACAGATGGTTGGTATATATCCCATAGCTAAGCTGCTTCTTGTAATGTTTAATAGATGGTGTGTAGCTATTTCCTCACCCTTCTTTAGAAGGGCAGGAAAAATCCCATCTATTCCTGCTGTTTTATAAGGCTGAAAGGTGTCAATAGCCCATTTCAGTTTTTGTTCTGTTATTACTAGCTTCGCCATCTCCCAGTCTTCCCTGTGAGGATTGTGGGGTTCGTCGGAGCTACTTGCGTATCAATAGATATGCTACCTGGAAAGTGTGTATAAAGTAGGAGGTTAGCTCTCTCTTCACCTCCTTCCGTGTAGCTTCCGTCAGGTTTCTTAAGTGCCATGTTGGGGATGGGCCCACTCTTGGCCATAGCTTTGTGTAGCCTAGCTGCATAAGTAGTTGAAGTGATGTTTTCGCAAAAGCATCTGAAGTCAGACCGCTTTGCCCTTCTAATCTTCTTATTATACTCAGTTAATTTCTCGGCGTAGAGCTGCCATTCGCCGCTGGGTTTGGCTCTGTTGAAGAGTCGTCGAACCTCCGATCTAAGATTGTCTAGCTTTTTGTTCCACCAGGGATTGTTGTTACTTTTTTGTATGCCCTTACTTGTGGGGCAACTAGATTCATATGCATCCAATATTGCACCACTGACTTCCTTTGCGTACCATTCTAGATACAGGTGGTTCCTAGCCCTACCTGCATCTATTTGGTCCAGGTTGTCTACGAGATTGGTGTGGTATAGTTCCCAATCGGTTTTTCTTGGATTCCTTCGAATTTCAGTTTGGAGTATGATTCCTCCTAATTTGAACTCGATGATTCTGTGATCTGATAGGGAAGGTTCCGTTGAGACCCTCCAATCTTTCAGGTAACTAGTTACACTAGCACTCCCGATTGTTAAATCTAATACTTCCTCCCGCGTTTTTGTCACAAACCCTATATTGAGAACTTCAAGATTGTATGCTAAGAGGAATTCTAGTAAACACTCACCTCTAGTGTTAATATTAGTGCTTCCCCATACCTCATTGTGCGTATTGGAGTCACATCCCAATAGCAGAGGTAGTCGCCGTTGGCTGCAGAATCGCGCGAGCCCCTCTACCTCCGGAGGCGGTGTCTGCCCATCACCCGGAAAGTATGCAGAGGCAATCACGATATTTTTGCTACAACCCTCGATATTAAGTTGAACCATGATTGGAACAAGATCCCGGGTTGTAAATTCTGAAACACATGTGTAGTTAATGTTGTTTCTTATAAGAATACAGGCTCGGGGAAGTTCCTGCCTGTTATCATATATTACACTGGAATTTTTTCCAGACAACCCTTTAATTTGTCCCTGGTACACCCAGGGTTCCTGGGCTAGTACCATTACATATTGGTTTTTCTCAAAGAGTCTTGTGATTGTGGCAGAAGACCCTTTTGCATGGTGCAGGTTTATTTGGGATATCCCATGCATCAGGTTTCTGGGGTAGGTAAGGGTCCCCCTGTTGTAGGGAGGACAGGGTATTTCCCATCCCCCCCTGGCAACAGATGTTCCTCCTCCGTGGAGTGGTCATCAACCTCCTCCGAGGATATACACCCTTTCACGGCTGGAGTTACGCCAACCGTGTCCTTCACAGTCGAGGAGCTTGTCTCCGGCTGAGGTACTTGTGAGTTGGAGGCTGGAGTATTTGTCTCCATTTTCTCCCCCTCTTTAGCTTGTTCTTTTCTTGGACCTGATACCGGTACCGTCCCGAATCTATAATAGAGGTTATATCCTTCTTTCTCTATTGCCTCCTTGGATTTGAGGTCAATTCCTATTGTGAGGACCTGACCATGGCCCTCCTCCTTCGAGTTGAGGACTCGCCAGCTCGATGTACTCACATTCTCGTTCTGAGCTTGGATAAGGTCTAGCAGGTAGGCGGTGTCTTTCCCCTTGCTTCTTGGCAGAAAGACCGTGATGGTTGTCCCTTTAGGGATGTTTTCTCCCCTCATTGCAACCAGTCCCGGCCCCTGCCAATTTTTAAGCTTAGGTGCCGTTTCCACCAACCAATCCGCCGATTTTTCAGATGCACAATCTATGAGGATCATGCCCACCCTAAAGTGTATCCCCGCAAAGCGCAGCTGACCCACACTTTGTGGATCGTTGCGTCGCAATCCGCTCGCTACTACTTCGTCCAGTATCGCCTCTTCTAGAGCCGTTTGCTGCTCGGTAGTCAGTACAACCTCCGGATATTCCTTTGGCAGCACCGCAATTTTCACTTGTCCAGCAATAGCGGCATAGCTAGTGATACGTCCCTGCTTGCCTCTCGGTGTGGGACGGCTTTCCATCCTGGCTTTTTTCTCTCCTTGTCGGAGCAAAGGGGAGAGGTTTTCGCTCCCTCTCTTGCCCTTTGGTGGAGATGCGCCAGGTTGTTTCTTGGTTCCTTTTTCAAGGAGAGTTTTGGCTTTTGCTTCCTCCGGAGCAAGTTCTTCGTGGAGCAGTCGGAGGTATCTCCCTGCTTGTGCGGGTTAGACGATCCGCTGAGACCTACTCTCAGCGGATCGTCTAACCCGCCTGGTTGACCCAAGCCGGGTAGACGGAACGGTAGCTGGTGTCGCTTGTTGGGTCTAGAGGTTCCCTTACTAGAAGAGGTGATAGCTTGTGTACCACTTGTGGAGGCTGGGCTCGCACAAGTGTCAGCCGCCTCTCCTGTAGTTTCCTTTGGGATTGATCCCTTGGAACTTTCGTTCATAATGTTCCCAGTGTTACTAGGGGGTTTCCCCACAGCCTCACCGGTGATGTTTTTATGATTGTTTGATCTCATAGTGTTCCCACGAGTAGCTAGGGTTAGTCAGTCCACTTCTACAGAGCCCCGCATGTAGAAGTAAGAGGTAAATACAATGGGGTGCCCCCTGGTGCCCCAAGGTTGAGACCAGTAGAGGCTAGTCTCTATCTAGCCACGCATCCCTTTAACCTGGTCCCACCATCATCGTAGGATTTAGGTTTTTTGGTGAGGTTGTCTCCTCTTGGTCCGGGCGGTTAAGCCAAGACCCTCCCACACCCTATACCCGCGAGACTTGACCACAGACAGTAGAAGGTGCCTGATTATATGTCTTGGTGCAATTCCCTGGCCACGACACTACAGCCAGAGACAAGACAATGAGTGAGATGCTTCTTAGACCAAGCCAAAGTGCTAGAGGTGATTCCCCTCAGCACCTGACCAGGAGCTTCCCCACCAACGACAAGGTCTTGCATTTCCTAGGGGAAGATAGTATATAGTAAATAGTATATGAATTTTGCAAAAACTAAAGCAATGTAAAACCACCTAGTAGACAGAAAAGACATTCTAATAAATAACACAGAACTGGAAGTAGCGAGAATACATATATTTGGGACAACTAATACACAGCTCGGGATCTCTACTACCAGAAATTAACCAAAGAAGAAGTTACCATGTAGTAATTATGGACGAAACTCAATCATATTCAAATCTAGAATGCCACTTTATCTAAAAAAGAAAACATTCGACCAATGTGTACTACCAGTCATGACCTATGCATGCGAAACCTGGACACTTAAAACGGACATTATAAGGAAACTGCAGGTCGCATAACGCTCAATGGAACGAAATGTGCTGGGAATAGCCAAGAAAGATCGTAAAAGAATAGAGTAGATACGACAAAAGAGCCAGGTAATAGATGTCATCCACAGAATAAAATCCCTCAAGTGGCAATGAGCAGGACACCTGGTAAGAGGGACGGAGAACAGATGGACCACAAAAATTACTGCATGGCATGGTACCCACAAGGAATTTTAATTCTTAGACCTAGAGAAAGACTAAACCTGAGATGAGACCATGATATTATGAAATTAGCAGGGATAACTTGGTCCCGCGGAGTCAACAATAGAAAACAATAGGCCCAACTACAAAGAGAGTATCTAAATATGTGAGGGAGGCTACACCATAATTGGAAATGGTTGAGTAATGGTTGTAATTTTTATTTAAATTCAGATGTAGATTATTCCTACCAATTTTTAGATACTGTCTGTCGAAATCGTTTCTTCTCTCGAAACCAACAAGCCATTGGATATTAAATTAAGAAAACATCACTGATTTTATATTATTTTAGATAAAACATCACAAAAAATATTATTTATTGATTAGAATAATTAATTTTACTAAGTTATTTTACTAAAAAAAAATGTATAATCTATAATTATTTAGTGATATTTGAAAGGTATATTTAAGAACTAATTGAAATGTTATGAAGGCGATATCTGTATTAAATAATGTCATCGAGTATTGTTGTTAAGATCTATTAGATCGATAAGAGATATGAGATCAATAGATAGAATAAAATACATAAATAGGGTTTTCGTGGAAGCTTACCAATACATATCACATCATTTTTAACTGGAAGGACTTTTAGGGTACGTTTGGGAAGTGTTCTCTCTACAATAAAGACATTGGAAAATGGTATCCCCCAGGAATATATATAACTCAGCAATAATCTGTTTCTAATAGCAATCAATGATCTAGTTGAAGGAATGAATAAAAGTGTATATATGTGGATGATCTTGCTATAACCTTTGCCACAAAAACTGTTGGAGAAAGCAGTAGATATCTACAAGATGCCATAAACCAAGTTGTAAAGATGCTAGTGTTAATGGCTTTAAACTATCCAAGAAAAAAACCCATGCGGTGCATTTTTGCAAATTGCCTCAGCCACACTATCGTCCACTGGTTTTCTTGGACAATTGTCCTCTGGAACTTAAAACTGAAACCAAATATCTGGGCTGAATATTTGACGAAAAACTTAGGTGGAAACCACATATAAAAGGATTAGTGTTACGGTGCAAGAAGGTTCAAAATCTTATTAAGGGTCTCTCGCATACCACATGGGGGGCAAGCACAGAAATAGTTACCCAGCTCTATAAAACCTTGGTACGTTCGAAGATCTTTCGGGATCCAAGATCGGAAGTTGACACACTCAAATCCAACTGTGATACTGTGATGTACGTAATAATTACGTATTTTTCTTGTTGTTTGTTTTTTTTCTCTACTTTGTTTATGTTTGTTCTTGATCTTTTTGTCACTAAACTTGAAATGTTTATATCAATGTAGGTACATTTTTAAATTTTGAATTGTCCTTGTAATGGTGATCCTTTGAGGGAACCCCTGTAATTACATTGTTATCATTAACGAGTTGTACATGGCTAATGATCCTGGTGATCGATGCCTAGGAACAAAAATATCTAATATTTAAAAAAAATACGTAATCTAATTTTAGAGAATGGAAACCAAAATATGCTGCTGTAAATGCCTTAGGAGTAACTTCATTTTACGGACATGTAATTCTAAAAGCAAACCAAAAAGAAAAATCTAAAGTTACAGATAATTTTCCGAGGTTAGCCATCGCATCTACGAGAACCGAAGAAGGAATAAAAGATATTCTCGAAAAAGTAATAGTAATGCATATGGGAATGTATATATTTCAAATTTAACATCTTATAGGTAAAGACGTATGAAAATGACGACGAGTATTTTCAATTAATGCAAGAACTTTTTGCAAAACCAATTTTGGGCCATCTATATCGCGGGTACACTTTGGTCGGAGCGTCTGAACCAAAAGAAGAATTTGTAGTAAGTATACTAGAGGTGTAAAAAATAAGGAGTTTCACCTAAAGAAAACATTTATTTTTATTTCCATCCACTCAACAAACAAACTTATGTTTTACTACACGTAATACAATACATGTAAATATTTTAATGGTTTGAAATTTAAAAGAGGCTAATGAACTAGATATATATTATATTTAGTTATAGACTCGTACATTACTCTATTATTTTTCGTCATTTATAATTTCCATAACTTTGAGTTCAAAGTTTGGATGCAGATTATACATTTAAAGAAATACATACTTCCAAACAGTTCTTCCTTCGTAAAAAAATGGCCTCTCATACAATATTAAAAACTTACATTTTCATTATTTTGATTATTTGGATTTTTTAAAATTTTTTAATGCTTTATATACTATGCTCATTTTTAATATAATATGAAGAATATTTCAAAAAATAGCACTTCTGGTAGTATTTGTTTTTTAGAGACTTCAATATAGGAACTTTTTATACAGATATAAGATATAAAATAACATTTTGATTGCTGGTAAGCATAACCTATGATGATATGATACACATTCTTTTTAAATTTTATAACTGTTGGATGTTTACATACAACTAATTATTATAAATACTATATAGTTATATTATATTTGCCTCTATTTTATTTTTTGAAGTTTTAATGTTACTTATTGCATATAATACATATTTAAACAGTATCATCAAGGAACAAAACGTCCTGTTTGGTTTGTATACTCCGGAATGGGTTCACAATGGAATAGTATGGTCAGTGATTTTATGAAAATTCCTATTTTTGCTTCTGCCATTAACAATTGCCATAATGTTCTGCTTCCAAAGGGTGTAAACTTACTAGAAGTTATTTCCAGTGATGATAAGACAATATTTGATAACATTCTTAATTCCTTTGTTGGTATTGCTGCTATGCAAGTAAGTAAAATTATGTTTGTTGTGTAACTTATAAATTATAAAAAATATACTTTTAAAATTGTGCAATTACAAACTTTTCATAAAGTGTCAAAGTTACTAAGTGTACAAAGTAAATAATGGAAACAAAGTTCTATATCCATCCAACATTATCCTATTCCAACATTATTAACTATAAAAAACAGTGAGCAAAATAAATAAAGACAATAGAAGTCCAGAATTGTTTTAGTTTTAATACTGAATCATTAATAAAAGACCTGCATCAATTTTAGTAAAAAATTCAACAAGCAGTGTTAAACATTAATTACAGATATAAATGAATTAATTTGTTTTGTGATATATTTTTTATAAATAAAAGGAAAAAATAGTTATTGTCTTTTAGGATAAATAATAATTATATTCTTCATTATTATGCTTCAAAAACTCTACTATACATATTTCTAAAACAGATATTTTAATTTGCTATTTTTTTAGTTTAATTAGTCAAATTGGATCTTGACAACTGAACTAATTTGAATTATTTTAAGATTGCTTTGACGGACTTGCTAAGAGCTATTGGCATTGAACCAGATGGTCTCATTGGCCATTCTGTAGGAGAGTTAGGATGCGCCTACGCCGATGGTTGTTTAACTGCAGAACAAATGATATTGAGTGCTTATTCCAGAGGGCGCGCCTCTTTAGATGCTGAACTTATACCTGGAATGATGGCCGCCATAGGTTAATAAATATGACATTAAATGAGGAGCAGATTTTCTGATGCATTTTGTCCATTTTTTCGAATTTTGGCAATCAAAGAAAAACTGCTGCGCTTTTTGCAAGAAACTAGTATATTTAGAAAATAGTACACCTACATGTGAAAAATCTAGTTTTGATGATATCTGAAAAAATTGAAAAAAAAACTCCAAGAAACCTATATGGATATTTTGTCACTGCAAGAAAATCTACAAAATAAAATATTATCAGTTATTTTTTGCAAACATTGCTGCGTTAATCCAACGGAGACTACTTGTCAGCAGTTGGGTTTACTGATAAACAAATTTGCCTAACGAACAAAAAAATGCTTGAAAGTTTCGGAAAGTTTATCTCTTTCCGTCGACAGAAGCAAAAAATACAAAGAATAAAGAAAAAAAAACCTATTTAAAATATTTAAATGCAACTATTCGAAAATACTTTAGTTTTTTTAAAACAGATACGTCTACAAAAACCGTTGAAGTTCTGTTAAAATGACATTATATCAAGTTATACTTCAAAATTAACAATTACTACCTGATAAAAATTATTTAATAAGGTAGGTAAAACCAAAAATCTTCAAACTTTCTGTATGATTATATTTAATTTAAATAAAAAAAAATAAAAAATCAAATAAAAAAATAAATTAAAAAAAAATAAATAATATTTTTTTAGATACGATGTCCATTTTTTAATATAGTAACTCTGTGTACGCAGTATGCAATGCCACCTTTGGTTCAAAATGTAAAAAAATGAACCAAATGCATTTAGTAAATCTGCTCCTCAAATGTCCTATTGTATCTAATACAATATTTTTCTTACAGGTGTTGGTTACAATGCTATCAAAGATAAACTTCCACCATCGATAGAAGTAGCTTGTCATAATGGTCCAGACAGTGCAACATTATCAGGACCGAGAGAAGATATGGAAAAATATGTAGCTACCCTTCAAGAGCAGGGAACATTTGCCCGATTAGTAAACGTAGCTAATATAGCTTATCATAGTAGATACATTAAACCAGCCGCGCCATATTTGTTGAAATACCTTAAAGATGTAATTCCGAATGCTGTAAAACGATCGCCTAAATGGATATCAACATCTAATCTAGAAAAAGACTGGAATACTGAATTGGCGGAACATTCGTCGGCAGAGTATCACACCAATAACTTACTTAGCTCTGTCTACTTTGAAGAAGGTCTGAAGCACATACCTAAGGATGCTATATTAATTGAAATAGCACCTCACGGTCTTTTGCAAGCTATTCTAAAACGTTCACTTAAATCATGTATTAATATTCCTTTAACTCAAAGAGGATGTAAGAGCGGTGTTGAATTTCTTTTAACAGCGTATGGAAAGTAAGTAAAATGAAAGAATGATGTTACATTTTTTATCATGGTTTATGATTGTAGAATGTATTTAAATGGTATGGATATAGAAGTGTCAAACATATATCCTAAAAAAGACTATCCAGTGGGACGAGGTACACATTCATTGGCACCGATTTGTCACTGGAGTCATATAGAAACGTGGAGAACTGGATTTGAAGATACTCTTTATTCATCTTCTACTAGAAGCGATATCGAAGTCACTTTGAATAGTGAGGAGTTTAGAGAGTGCGTTGGTCATCAGATGAATAACAATATTATTTTACCTTCAAGTTTCTATCTTGTAAGTGTAGTATTCTTATATACAGTCTATCCTTTCTGTAGCTAAGGGGCATCCGTAAGGGTGGAAACAAAATTCTCTGTTAAAGAGAAATTCATGGGCGTGCTATAAATATTTTAAATAGCATTACTTTTTTATGCGAACATTTCAAAAATGTCCAGGTTTATTTTTTTTTCCACGTAAATGAGACATAATCTTTATAAAAATTAAAAAATTAAGAAGAAAAATAATAAAAAAATTAATAAAATCACGCAGCATTTTACCTATATCACTGTCCTCAAGCTGTTTAAAGTATTAAACGATCTTTCTCGTAAAACGTTAAACGATGCGTCTCGCCATAAAAATTGGACAAATTTGTAAGTAGCCAATGTGATGAGTCGGTGGAGTGTTTTGCGGTCAAGGATACTATAGAGATAAGGATAGTTCGATTCCTATATTCCTGCACTTTCAGTTTTTTTACGTTATCTAGGGACCGAGTTGAAGTTGGCGCTAAAGACTTTAGACAGTGACAGTTATTGCGTTTGACGGATGAGCGCACAGTGTGGTGGAAGATAAATTTAGCGGGACAAAACCGTTTGGTTAGAAATAAGCAAAAAAATGTGTACTGATAAGAATAAATAGTAGACATTCCAATTGATATAAAAATGCATGAATATTCTTTGTATTTCGATACATTTTTATCAACCAAATTTGGTCGTTTTCTGCTCAGCAAGGCAGAGATCATACGAAAACAAAATATTTAAAAGTGCTTATTTATTTCAAAGCCAAATTATGTTGAAGATTGCCAAAGGTATGTACTTTTCTACTGTAGTTAAATTATTTGTTAAAATCCTTCCTGCCTTTGTGCTGCATTGATATCTGCAGCACTTTCACTTTTTTCAAATATTGATATATTGAATGATGTAGATCTTTTGAGTTACCAATAGTTACCAACACAGGTAGTCACAGTCACAAGGGGTTCAAGCTTAACAGGTGAATGCCCAAAAGTTTCATTTCAATCGGATAGTATAAAAACGAAACAAAGACTCGTTAAAGGGTTAATTGAAGAGCATTCAAAAGAAGAATTGGGTTTTGCAAGTACTATGAGCTTTAGGGCTAGTGGGAGTAAGGATGCTGCTGTAATTGTTGAAACCTTAACTAATAAATTTAACCATATGGTTGCTATATATTAGACCATTTGCTACGTTCTTAGATTTTAAGGCCCAAACATTGCTCCTGAGATTTTGTCCCGCTAGAATAACCATCCACCGCACTGTGGAGCGCTGGTCCCTGCGTGACGTAAGCATCTACAGCGACTATGACAGCGGCGATTTGACGCGATCGAACCCTAGATGATATATACTTACGTGGATTATTAAATCACTATGGAAACTGTCCCAAACATATCAACGACTTCCATTTATCTTCTTTTTTTGTTGCACACGCGGTGCTTCTACTCTATCTATCCTTGTCGAGGACCTATCGCCCACGCGCCAAATTTGAACATTAATTTTAAAAATTTAATCTGTAAAATGCATATATTTGAACAATAATTGAATGTTACTGTCACAAAAATTAAATTATACAAAAAATAAATTAGCCACTCCGTACGAATATCAATATTCTTAGGAAATCTAACCAGAAAGTATCATGTGGTTAAATATATATAAAAGAACACCTGAATACTTTACTTTTTACTTGCCTGTGAAAAGATAATTCAGCGACATTTATATTATAATTTCCACACACCAAACACATTCTTGTCATTTTTACGAATATTTACCCAAAAATTAAAACCCAACGTATAAAAAATAGAAATATAATTGCACAAACTTAAAATTAACTTCTCACTGAACACACTTGCATCCTTGGCTATATAAAAGCGATCGATAAAAGAATAATTAATACAATGTTTAAAATAAAAAACGCAAAAAACAAGCGTCGTTACACAATGGAAATAACATTATGACATATGATCAACATATGATTATGACAAGATTATGACAATATGATGACAATGAAAAGTTGGTTTCCATAACAATGTATAATTTGTACTTTCTAAACCAGATAAAATTGATATTATTTTGGAAATACGTGCCACTTTTAATGCGCATGCGTAAAGTCAGGTCCTCGAGAAAGACAAACCTATTGAACGTTTCATAAGTGCAATAAAGAAGGTTTGAAAATGGCATGTCGAGATGTTGGGGACATATTTTTAAATGCTAAACTTATGGCGTTGATTTATCCACGTAAGTATATATGATCCAGGGATCGAACAGTCCTTTAGAATATAATACAGTCTTGATTGGTCTATACTGCCAGTTTCTTCTTCTTATCACACCCTCTCCTGCCGAAGGTTGGCAATCCAAATTGCAATTGTGGCTCTGGAAACTGCAGCCCGGAAGATTTCCGCAGACGAGCGTTCAAACCATCTCCTTAAACCTTTTAGCCATGAGTTCTGGCGTCTTTCTACTGGGATCTTTTCCCTTGCACTTTGCCCTCTATTATGAGGCGCAATATTTCGTATCTATCACCTCTCATCACATGACCCAAGTATTGCATTTTTCTTTCCTTGATAGTAATCAGTATCTCTTTTTGTTTCTGCATGCGCTGGAGTACTTCATCCTTGGTGATCCTTTGTACCCCTGAGATTCGCAGCATCCGTCTGTACACATACATTTCGAAGGCTTCTATTCTCTTTTCGGTCTGTGAACTGCCAGTTTAGAATAACCATATTTAGTGATATACAGTATATCACCGGATTGTCTTTACAACTTTTTATGATTAACATTTTGCGAAAAAAATCATTCTTCATAAAAAAATTTTGCTTGTTCTAAAATGTCTCGTTTATATTTTTTCGTAAATTTCAATTTCCATACAGTTTAAGAAAAAATTAAAAAAAGGAGAAAATATAATTGAATTTTAGTTTGATAGATCGTTATTTATACAATTTTAATTAACGTCATATTTTTTGCTATTTTAAAATGTTAAAGAAGCGAAAGATTTATTTAGTTCAATGCTAAGGAAAGGGTGATTTATAGTTACTGGAAAATGTGATAGATTAACAACAGCAAAAAATATGACGTTAATCAAAATTAAGAATCGTCTATCAAAGAATGAAATCGAAATGTTATTACCATAGAAACACCTTTGGATTTTTAGGACTTACTAAAGTTTAACCATAGCTTAACCATATTTTCATATTTTTAAAATATTGTGTAAAACGATATGGAGATTTGGAAAAGTATAAAGGGTATTAACCATTATAGAAGAAGCAAAATTTTTTATGAAGACATTTTCTTCTAAATATCAATAATAAAAAGTTCCTCCTCTTACTTCCTACATCCATATAACGTGGAATTGATATACAGGACATACTGTATATACATTCCACGAAAATTGCGGGATGAGATAATTTCTTAAACGTGATAAACAAATTTTTGGTAGTAAAGTTGTACGTTTTAAAAAACTTACATGCTCGTTTCATATTCTGTATAAAATATTTATAGAATAATTATATTAAAATACAAACTTTTTCAGAATACTGTGTACCAGATCATGTCAAATGTAATTGGAGGTCAGAAGCAAATATTATTTGAAAATCTGCATTTTAAGAAACCAATTACTATTCCTAAGATTGGTAAGTTGTTATATACAAAATTATTATTATCAAGTTTGTATCCAATTACCGGATGAGATTGTAGTTTTGACTTTAATATATTGATTTTTATTGAATTAGATGATTTACCAATTTTCGGCAAATCTGGGGCAAAAAAAATCTGGCAGATGTTGACATTCGCCAAATGTCATAATAATTCACCAAATTGTTTGCATACCTAATAATAATATTGAGAAATATTATTTCTTTCAAAGGTGAATATCGTCATGTAGCATTTTAACATAGCGTGCTGACAACTGTTACTTTTGGGTCGGTATTTACATGTGTGGAAGCAAATCGCATAGGGATCTTATTAAGTCGGAGTGAGAGAAATCCGACGAGATGCTTTTGCGGCGTTGCCACATTTCTCTGTTACGCCTTTCCCTATTAACTAAAGTGAAATCACGATCGCAAACCGCTTATTTTCAAAATACTTTTTTTCCGAAAAGATAACTAGATAAAATCATTAGATATGTTTCTGAGTATCTGAGTTTATAAGGATATTGTTATGGTGTTCATATTTTTTATAACGAGAAAACGTCAGTAATCGCGATAATTTAAAAACTCATTTTTTTAACACAAAACGCGCGATAACTCAAGAATCACTTCAGATATTGAATGTCTTTTTATTTTGAAGGTCGGATCTATTACAAGATGTTTAATTGAGAAAAATTCGATAGGCTTGTTTTTTTCATTCAGAAATTTTAAAAACCCCGTCCATTTACTTCTAGTGCACAGCAATTTTCAGTAATCGTGTAACTTTTTTATTTCTAAAGATTTTCACATACTGTGAAGAAAATATAGCAGAAATATTACGAAAGTTTTTGAAAAATAACTACAATCAATTATTTCTAATGGATTTCGAGATATCGGTTTTTGAATTCAGAGTTCTAATAGCGCGACCGCTGTCGAACACCAAACCAATTCCACTTATAACCTAACCAAAAGTGCAAGTGTTTCTAACTTGCACTTAAAAATTTACAAGCTGTAATGAAAATTACGACTCGATAAATAAACAAAAAAGTATCACGAGACGTAATTAAACCGTGACGCTGAACGAATGATATACACCCTTCTCTAGAATTTTAAGCACTGATTGGGTCGACCCATCGAGAAAGTAATATTTTTTTTATTATCCTTCTGTATAGTCGACCGCGATGAATCTGCTGTATCCCCTTCAACGTCTCTTAGCAATGCACACATATTCTCGGTTTATTTCATACGTTTGGCAACGTTTTTACTGTTCTCTCTTTGTTTAGTACATTATAAAATAGAAGATACGCGCGCCATACCTAAATCCGTCCTTTATGGCATGTGCGCATACGCATGCCGAGACATCCTAAAACGGCGGAAAGTAACGCCTAGCGATAGCAGTTCTGCAAGAGCACCTGTGGCTCCGTGCTTGAGGTCATTGCTTCGTAAGCGAATGGTCCGTGGTTCAAATCTCACACCGTACCAAAACTTTTTTATATTTTTTTTTATAAAAAAATATAAAAAACGCTTATAGCGTGATTTGATTGCATTGGTTTCACTTTTCACTCTTTTTGGTTGGATTGGTTCAGTTATTTGGCGGGTTGGTTAGCGTGGTTATTTGGAGGGTGTTAATTCATTGGTTAGTTGGTTATTTGGTGGTGTTGGTTGGTTTTTACCTAACGTGATTTTCTTTATTATTTGTTTGTAATTTGTCAGTTTGTATCATTGCTGCATGTGCGCACAGGGCCATAATCATAAAGAACAGAAATTAGTATGGCGCGCATATCTTCTTGTCATTATAAACGCATTGTACTCAGGTACTCTTCTTATATACGGAAATCTCTACCCAAAACTAACCTTTGCCAGCCGTTAGTATACCACTCATGCTATATGTTGAAATACGGTATTTCTCTTGAAGTGATTTGTCGCGCTCCAAAATAATCAAGGAACCGGTTACCGAAGAACGTAATTTTACTCGCCGCTCTTGCATCAACTCGAAGTCTAAGCGCTCTTCGGTTTAAATTTGTTAAATAATTGATGTTTTCAATTAAAGGAAAATTGAAAATAATTTATTTTTAATTTCAGGTTTGGTTTCTCTTCACGTATTAATAGAAAAGGGTTCTGGAGATTTTGAAATCACATCCAATGGCGAAATTATTGTAACGGGTAAAATTAGTTTTCCACAACCCACTGACAAATATATGGTTGAACCTGTTGAACTTGAAGTGTTAGAAAACTCTGTAGAACTTTCTAGTCAAGATTTCTACAGCGAATTGCAACACAGAGGATACAAATATGATGGAGCATTTAGGAACATTAAAAGCCTTACTCTTACTGAGGACGGTTCATCTGCTGTTGTTCAGTGGGATAACAGATGGATCATATTGTTAGATTCCATGATGCAACAACAATTTTTCAAGGTACATATTGAGCGACAACGAATTTGCTGCACAAACCGTTCATTATACTTATTAAAAATATATTTTCTTAAAAGCTTTTGAATATTAGAATATTGCTTTTTTGAACAATATATACAGCGTGTCTCAGAAATAAGTACGAGTATTTTAATTGGTAGTAAAGTTTGACCCTCTAAACACGCCCATAATATTTTTTGCGAAAAAAAATGTTGAAAATTTTAGATTTTTCTTGACATTTTCCGGAAAATGTTGAAAAACTTTTGAGGGCTACTGTTCATTCTCCGGAAATTCGTTTACGGTGCATCTTTGAATAAGAAGACTAAAGCCGGAGTCTCATGCATCCGAAATCCGATGGTACGACATCCGAAATTTGAAGTTATCGTGTGAAATAAAAAAAGCCTGTCACATACATCCGAAAGTTCGTTCCGAAATTTGACAGTTTTAACATTTTTCTGTTGCGCTGAATAGAGATTCATGTCATGTTTTATTGGAGAAACACTTATAAAAATAACTTCCTCGCCAAATATCCCGAAATTGCCCACTTCCCACTAAACTTGTTTTTAAAACAAATGTTTTCAAAAAAAGTGAGGTTAAAAAACACACGATATCGTACAAAAGTTAAACAAAATTTAACTTTATACGACGTCGGATGATTAGTTAAAATTATCGGATAAAAATTGTTGTCAAAATATTTCGACCAATAGGAGCACCGTCGGATCGTCGTGTCATCGGATTTCGGATGCATGAGACTCCGGCTTAAGGAAGGAGCATAATGCTATCCATGTATTCATGTATGGTGGGCATCCTTGACAGTTCTGTTTGACGATTCATTTGACACATTTGAATTTGATTTGAAATTTTGTGGATTTGTCAGTCTTTACGGAGCTTATTTTATGTTATTTATTATTTATTCTACTACTGATAGTTGTATAAAGGTAGTAAATCTAGATGGAAATTGTGGCAGAACTTAAATTAACAGTGACACTATCGCGATTTATCGAAAAAGACTCTAAAATAGTTGGTTGTGTAGCGTGCGGTAAAATCTCGGCAAAAACTGAGTGAAATAATGGAACAACTTTTCGCTAGTAAGTGACTATATAATATACTTACGTGTAGTAAACCGATCATTTATGAAATTCACTTAAATTAACTAAATTATATATTTTTCTTGCATTTTAGCTTTTATTTATTACTGTCAAAGATTAGATGTCAAAGAATTTAGATACGCTAATTTGACTTACCTGCTTCAGTAGCGTATCGGATGTTTGTGTTAATAAATACTTATTATAACTTATCTATTTTTATTAGAATTATATATTTTTATACAATTTTAATAACTACCAACATTTATTCACAACGTAAAATAAAACAACAAATTATTGAGTCTACCCCACGTCTACCCTACATCATAGTTTTACATTTTTTAAATAAAATTAGAACGACACTGATAAACCGGAATTTAAGTCGGCCATATTTGAGGCCCATCGCGGTGTACCTAAGATTTTTAATATGCTCCTTCCTTAGTCTTCTTATTCAAAGCGGTGCATAGAGAGAATCTCGGAGATAATGCAATGTTGTCACCTTCTACATTACCCATTCTGCATGTTTATAAATTCACAGTAATTTAAAGTTTCTACACAAAAAAATACGCAAATTAATTTTATTCATACTAATGTAGATTGCTATACTAATTCTAGAGAAATGCACAAAGTTTTAAATACTTTTTACTTACGTGAATATTACATTAATAAATCCATGCTCAGAAGAACGATAGCATGTGTTAGAAATGGAGGTCGTCAATTTGAACAATTATTATAATAGCGTGCAGTCAAGAATCAAAGTGTATTTAAGTGTAGTGTTGGTTAGGTTTATTTTGTGGAATGTAGGAAGTAATGCAACTGGCCCCGCAAAAAAGTAACGCACCTTTACAAAACGGATGATGTCGAATCTTGCAAGTAGTTTTTAAGTCTTTCTAGTCAATGTGGCGATAATGGACGCGAACAAGCTGAGTTACGGGTAATTGCCGATTTCTGGCGCGGCGGCGGCGGCTCTCAATATGTTTCTTTTTAATTTTTAAAGTTAAATAACTCCGTTATTTTCAATTTATTTTAAAAACGATAAAGAGAAAATATGTTTCTTTTGACCACTTCTACCAACCCTTAAAATACTTGCACTTATTTCTGGGACACCCTGTATAATTTGTGTAATTATTCGAAAATGTTTTCTAAATATTTTGGAGGAAGCATTTTTGAAAAAAATATTAGGAATTAATTATCTTATCTCCTGTAAAAAAAGGTTTACATAAGGTTTAATCTTTTTAAAAGAAAATCGGAAATAATTTGACAGAAACAGATTTTATTTAATGAAAATATACTTATATTGTTATCTCAGTATAATGTAATAGACATAATAAATAATTCCTACACAATGTTTAACAACTGAGTAGCAATTCGAAAGAAGCCCAGTAAATTGTAACGTAAATTTATTATGTAACGTTTTGATAGGTTGGAGAAAGATATCAAGAAGTTCACATTCCCAAATTTATTCAAAAGATTTGTATAGATCTGAACTTGGTACCTAGCAAACCTACTGATTTGGCTGTAAATTACGAATATTCCACCAAAGTTATTTCAGCCGTAGGTTTGCAAATCATTGGTATGAAAACCGCCCTTTTCGAAAAGGAGAGTGGAAATGGTTACATCGATTCTCTAGAATACGTTCCATTAAATAAAAATATCTCTTTAGTAAGTATAATAATTTTAATAATTTACAAGCAATAATTTTGATGCTATACAAGGAATCGAAAATTTAAGTAATTTATTCTATTCTATAAAGAACATTTTAGACTAGGTAATATAAGGGGCTCTACACACGATTTGATCTGCAGGCCAAATCGCACAGTTCAGATCTTAAAACCAAATCGACAGCGATTTTTTCACACTACACATTCAGATTTTATAAAAGATAAATTCATTAGTCCAATAACAATTTAGTACAGTTCTCGCTAAATCTATGGTTTGTACAGTTAAAAATATTCCTAGGAAGTTTTTGTTTAATTACCTTAGATAGACAGAGATACAAATAAATGCAGGTTTACCGGCAGTGGCGTAACTAGAAATTTTGGACTCCCTCGTAACTGTCGGTCATTGGGCCCATGTAGAATGTAGAATGGGTGAGAGGAATGTTAATCACTCCTACCTTAATTATCTATTGTGTCCCCCCTCCCTGAGTTATATATCATACAGTCTATAACCCATCATACATATTATTTTCCTTCGAAGGTATACACCCTTCCACGGTTGGAGTTTGGCCCCCATGCCCTTCACAGGAACTTCGAGGAACTTACCTCCGGCTGAGGTACCTGTGAGGTGGAGGCTGGTAGATATGTCTCCATTTTTTCCATCTCTTTAACATGGTCTCTCCTTAGACCTGATACCGCGGTGTTGTCCCGTATCTATAATAGAAGATATATTCCTCTTTCTCTATTGCCTCCTTAGATTTGAGGTCAATTCCTATTGTAAGGACCTGACCATGACCCTCCTCCCTCGAGTTGATGACTCACCAACTCGATGTTCTTACATTGGAGTTCTGAGCCTGGATAAGGCTCAGCAGGTAGGTGGTGTCTTTCCCTTGCTTCTTGGCAGAAAGACTGCGATGGTTGTTCCTTTAGGGATGTTTTCTTCTTTCATTGTAACCACTCCCGGCCCCTGCCAATTTTTAAGCTTAGGTGCCGTTTCCACCAACCAATCTGCCGATTCTTGAGCTTCACCGGGTCCACTTTTACAGAGCATCGCATGTAGAAGTAAGGGGTAAATACAATGGGGTGCTCACTGGTGTCCAGTAAAGGCTTGTCTTATATCTAGTGATGGGAAAAACCGATTAATTTCAATAATCGAGTACTCGAGTATCAAGCGATTGCAATAACCGAGTGATCACTCGAGCGAAATATCGCTCGTACTTAAAAATACGGTTTCTTGTCCGTCGCATGTTGTAAGTACTCGTTAACGCCAACCGCCAAGCAGTAAGCTGCGTGCGCAGGGCACATATTCTTTCGGTAATGAAATGAACGGCAAGTAGTAAGCGGCGAGCGATTCGCTTGATCGCCTGATTTAGTTTATTTCGAAGCATTGTGGATGGGTTGATGTAGGTCGTAAAATTTTGTCCCTCAGATACGCAACGGATAAATATACCGGGTGCGTCTCAAAAATGGCTCACCCCTAAAACTTTTTTAGTTTTTTAGATAAAAAAACGAGATTTGGTATGTTATAGTATATGACATAAATTAGGATTGATTGACATATTCAATTGTTTTTCCATTTCTGCAACTTTTGATTTTTAAATCGCACCCTCGGTATTTTTTTACTTTATTCGGTAGAAAATGACACTCTAAATAGAATGACATATCACATGTCAACTTTTGACATTTTCGCATATGGTTTATTTGAAATTGTAACATGCGGTTCATAACGACAATTTGACTCGAAGTACTAAGTGTGTGGTATCAAATTATTCGTAAAAAAATCTTTTTTGAAATATGCTAATGAGCCACCCTCGTTCCATTTGAAAAAAAAAATGAGATATGATCAAAAATACGATTTGGGCATCTTTTAACCGGCCACGGCAAGACACTAAAAACATTAGACGATCAAATCTATTTTTTCAAGGCTCCTTGATTAAAAATTAGTGTTTTTAACACAGCCATGGCGCTCTAGATTGAAATTTAAAATACAATTTGTTTTTAAGCGAATATGCCAAAAGTTGACATATGATACGTCATTCTATTTAGAATGTCATTTTCTATCGAATAAAGTAAAAAAATAAGGAGAGTACCATTTAAAAATCAAAAATTGTAGTCATTTCCGGTGAAACAGGAAGTGACAGAAAACAATTGAATACGTCAATCAATCCTAATTTATGTCATATACTAACATACCAAATCTCATTTTTTTTATCTAAAAAAATAAAAAAGTAATAGGGGTGAGCCACTATTGAGACGCACCCGGTATATACGGTGTCGTATAAATTTGCTACCTGCAATGTATGTAGAAAATTCGCTCGGCTTTTTATCGAGTATGTCACATTAAAATCGGATTTCAATTTATTTCATTCTAGGATCGCTTGCGTTCGTCGCTTGGTACTCGTCACTTGCATTGCTCGTTCATAATCGAGCGATGTCGGTTATTTCGATAATCGAGTACTCGAGCGAAAATTCGCTCGAGTACTCCTATCACTACTTATATCTAGCCACGCATCCTTTTGACCTGATCCCGCCATCGTAGAATGAAAGAAGAAAAAAGAAATAGAAGAAAAAAATTATATATATATATATATATATATATATATATATATATATATATATATATATATATATATATATATATATATATATATATATATATATATATATATATATATATATATATATATATATATATATATATATATATATATATATATATATATATATATATATATATATATATATATATATATATATATATATATATATATATATATATATATTTCTCTATATTGATTCTCCCTTCACTACCACGAGAAAGCAAATAATCTAGCTAGAATAGGAGCGAATACAACCCCTATATGGACCAGAACCGTTCTGCTTGCCAAGTGGAAACTAAATAAAAGTGGAACTCAAGAACTTGGAAGACTCCATCCGTAACCTGGAATGGGAATCCAGCAACGGTCTAAGACACTCGAAGAGCCTTCCGACCGAGAAAAGTTAAAGATTTTCCTTGATTTAAATAAGAACTATTTCGGATTGTCACGAGGTTTTTAACAGGACACTGTCTCCCCATTGAACACCTCAGTAGATTGAAGCTAAGAAACAACAGAGAATGCAGATTCTGTGGGGAGAATGGCGAAACACCAAAACACGTCATTACTGAGTGTGCCGAGACGACATCCATTCGTGTCATAAACTTTGGTACGACTGATATCGAGAACTACTATCGATATCGACTGAGATGGAGAACTACCCTCTGTAAAATTGTCTTAGACACTGGCTTTTTGCTGAATTTTGCATTCGAATACTTTTAGAACTGAACACATTTCGAATCTTTATGAATTCGAATACTTTTGAGAATCGAATACATTTCGAATTTTTTCATATTCGAATACTTTTGAGAAAAAGTATTGAAGAAAATTTATTATTTAAAAATATAGATATTTTATTATAATACGTAAAACAAATAATTTTAGGAATAGCAAATAGTGTGCTCGATAAGAAAAAAAAATTGTGTGCTCTATGTGCGCATATTTAAAATGAAACTTCTTACTAGTAGCTATTAAATTGTTATATGTATTAAGGATTTGAAGGACATGCTTGAAAAAGTGTAATATGAAATGTTGAAAAAATAATAAATTAATAAAATATTTTTACGCGTAAAAATAGTTTTATACGCGTAAAACAAAAAAAAAATAATAATAAAATCGTTTTTACTTCTAGCAAATAGTTTTTTACACGTAATAGTTTGATTCGCTTTCATAAAATTTGTATTAAAATATCAATATTTTTGATAAACACGTGAACTGCTCACAAATACACCTCGCGTCACTATGTTTTTCTAAGCCGTAGCAGGCCGTAGGCTGTCCTTACCAAAGACATCTAAATAAAGGGAGGCAAAACAATTTACATTTTATCGTTATTTTAATTATATTAAATTAAAAAATATTTTATTTAATTATTATTATTTCTTTTATGTCTTTGGTCCTTACCACAATATAGGTAGGTGAATTATTAATATATTCCAGATTTAATTAGCATAGTCTAGAATATAGTAAAATATTCTTTTATTATACAGGGTGTTTCAAAACAAATGCGAAAAACTTTAGAGGGTGATTCCTTGTTCAAAATAAAGTGTAGTTTGCTTTATAAACGTTGTGTTAAAAGTGAACCATTAGGGAGATATCGCTGTACAAAGATGGCGGAAAAATAATGTTTTTATTTTTTATCTTGAAAACGAAAAGAGATAGACTAATGAAATTTTATGGAAGCATTACTGTTATGAAAACACACTTTCTGGTAATTTTTTCACTTTTTTAAAATGAGTGGAAGGGGTTGAAATAAACTACCCCTATCATTCTTGTTAACGAAATTTAAAGAAAAATCTTATCAAATACATGCAAAAAAATTAATTTGGATAGTTAAGTTTGTTTAGAAACTTTTTTATCTCTTGTATTTTTTTGATAAAACTCACCGATTTGAAATTAAAAAATAAAATGTAAAGCATTACATGCCAGGACAAAAAACATTTTCTGATAAAGAATCTAGTGGGCTGCTGTAATTTTTTTAGGAAAAAATCTAGTCGACCGCTGTTACTTTTTAGGATGTTCCTAATATTATTTTATTTGACATTACTCTACTGCATAATACTAGATAATACGTTATTATCTAGATGATTATTATTATCGTTATTATCACTAGATTCTTAATCTAAGTCTAAGTTTATTAGTCTATCTCTTTTCGTTTTCAAGATAAAAAATAAAAACATTATTTTTCAGCCATCTTTGTACCGCGATATCTCCCTAATGGTTGACTTTTGACCCAACGTTTATGAAGCAAACTACCCTTTATTTTAAACAAGGAATCACCCTCTGAAGTTTTTCGCATTTCTTTTGAAACACCCTGTACAAAATACAATAACAAATAAAATTTCTAATAAAATTAAATACTATACTTAATCTATTTTCATCTAGAATATAGAGGCAGGTATTTACGTGGCCCTACAATTACTATTGGCAAACTTCTCACAAGAATATTTGACAGATGTTGTAATAACGGAGATTGAAGCTGAAGAGTCTCTTTTGAAATATATCAATAATGCCCTGACTCAATATCCTCAATTATCGGTAAGTAAACGAGTATTCTCACTTTAAAATAAATTTGAGATGTATATGCTATTCAATAAGATACATAATAATATATAAATGAAAATTAAACTTCAGATACCGAAATACATAATATCAGTTAATTATTATTATTTTTATTTTACATAATACTATTTAATACAATTTCCAAATATCTATACATAATTAAAAGTAAGATCAAAACATTACAGTTTATTACTAAGCATTTGCGTCTTCAGAAAATGAAATTAATGTAATAGTATATTCCATATTTTATTTTTAGTCATCAGTAACGAGCCTTAAGGATATAAGTCAAATAGCTAATAAACAGGAGAATCCAACATTGATTGTTTTCAACGATTACATAAATGATAAACTTGTAGAACTTTTGGTGGAATCAAACTTTTTCCTCTTAATTAAATCAAATAAGGAAATAATTTCGTATCCAAAAGTTGTATCTATTTTTGATTTTTCATACAACGGTGAAAATTATGCAGTGGTAAGAAAGGTAAGTAAAGAAATGCAGAACAATATTTTACAATTTTTGTTATGAACTACTCAAAACAATTATCGCATATTTTCTAAAAAAATATTAATTTGAAAAACAAGACACTTTGAATTCCCTGACTTACAGTTTTAAATAGTTTGGATACTGTGAAGGAGGAAATTCGAAACAATAAGCCTACGCGTTGACCTGTAATTTTTAGTTGGCCGACTATTTAGTTGCAAAAGTGAAAACAATACATACTTATGGAGCCGACTGGCCGACTGTTTGCGTGTGAGCGCGGCTCCATTGGAATATATTGGTTATAAATATGCAACTAAATAGTCGGTCGATTAAAAATTGCCTGTCAGCGTATAGCCTAAGGCTACGCAATGCAATCAAATGTTGGGCCGATCGGCTCTATAAAAATGAATTGTTTTCACTTTTGTAACTAAATAGTCGGCCTACTAAAAATTACCTGTCAGTGCGTACTAGGGTGGGTCGAAAAACCCATTTTTTATTATTGCTGGAGGGATAGTGATAAAAACTTGTCTTACCGGATTAGAAATCTATGTTCAAAAGATGGGCAACATCGAATAAAATTTAGCCGCCCCCCTCACCCCCAAAAGATTTTTTTTTAGTTATAAAAAAAACTTTCGGGGTAGTTATTAAAATTTCAAATTATTATTATGGAACACTGAAAGAAAACTGAACGTTGTATTTTGAATTTTAACCGCGCCCCTTATCGAAAAACTTTAATCGTCCTATAGTGGTAAATAGCCTTTTTATAGTGGTTCGCCTTTTCTTTCAATTCTACTCCAATAACTTTTATATTTTATAATAATAATTCAAATTGCCTTGCCCGATAACAATAGACAATAAAATATGAAGGTTGATATGAGTTGCCTCTTGGACACTTGTTGCAGCACTTGGATGGCCATACAAAAGGACCGTATAGCTTTTCTGGACCAATTGGTACGTTACTAAGTGACGGTGAACTGAAACCTGTTGTAAACTTTAAAATCGTTGATGCAGAACTACCTGAAATTGTCAAAAAGGATCTTAGCACTGATCAAAATTATTTATTACACATTTGTGAAGCTCGTGACGTTTATCTCGAGACTTTCCGGATTACATTAAAGCCATTGTGTATAAAGTTTTTGAGAACAATGCGTACTTTGCTTATCGTGAAAATTTATTGATTGCAATGATGACAAATGAGCGACAACACATAAGGCAGCTGGCTATCAAGAGAATCCTAAAAGTCAGGAAGGATAATTCAACTCCGTTGCAGAGTGTAAGAGTTTTTAGAACTCCTAAGCTAAATTTTAATGCCGACGACTATATAGACCTAATCTACTGGTCTGAAATGAATATTTCAGAGCCCCCCTTAACGATGGACTTGCTTGAAAACGAACACATGAAAATAATTCAAAGTGAAAAAGAATTTCAAGAGGATAAGCTATCATGTCACACGCAGGCTGTGGAAAGGACGGTCAAAATTATAACCGATGCATCTAAAACTGTCTGCGGTTAAGAATCACGTAACGGTTACATAAGAGCCAAACTTGAAGCCAAAAAACAGCTGCCCAGTTTTGAAAATAAGCAAGAGAAGCAGAAGATAAGCATAAGAAGTGATGGTGTACGGTGGGTGGTGTACGGCCACCTCCCCGTGGTGAGTTCTGCATTAATTTGGAACCTTGAGTTACTTTCCAAGTCGTCTAGAATTTTCAAAAGTCTAGGGTTCCAAATTACGCAAAGAACCGTTCTTTAATAACAATATGCTATATAGCCGCAGCTTTGCAGCCATTTACAGATCTTTGAGGTTAAAGGGGCGCAACTAGAATTGATCGTAGATCATCCAATTTTTCGAATTTTAGAACACCTAGTCATATTTATTTACTACCCTGAGCGTCTTTTATGTTTATAAAAAAAATGCCCCTTTTAAGGGGGAGGGGGGCGGCTAAATGTTGATTGACAATGTTCAGTTTTTTTGTACAGTTTTCTTAATATGCGAAACAAGTTTTTTCATTATCCTTACAAGAAAATAAAAAAAAAATTTTGGCGTTTTCGACCCACCCTAGTGCGTACTCTAATTATCCTAAAAAAACTCAGGAAGAGAGAGAAAGGCAGAAAAATCCATGCTTCATTTAGAAATATGTAATAATTACTTTTATTCAAATGTACGATAATTGTTTTGAGTAGTGTACAAAAGACATATTTCACTATACTACATAAGTAAACTTATAACTTATATGTATACCGGGGGCGGTCTCAAAAGTGGCTCCATTTTTTTTTATCGGATAAAACAAACCAGATTTGGTATGTTAGTATATCACATAAATTAGGGTTGATTGACCTATTCAATTATTTTCGGTCATTTTCTGTTTCACCGGAAATGACTACAACTTTTGATTTTTAAATGATACTCTTGGCATTTTTTACTTCATTTGATAGAAAATGACTAAATAGAATGGCATAACATATGTCAACTTTCGACATTTTCAATTAAGAAAAATAGCACTTTAAACTTGAATTTAGGGTGCCTTAGCCATAAATATAACGACAATTTGACTCGCGAAAAACTAAGTGTGTAGTATCAAATTATTCGTAAAAAATGCTTTTTCCAAATATGCTAATGAGCCACCCTTGGTCCATTTGAAAAAATTGAGTTATAATTAAAAATACGATTTTGGCATCTTTTAACCGTCCAGGACAAGACACGAAAAATATTATAGGCTTATACTTAAGCTTATACTTATACTTAAAGTATAATAAAAAAATGATGATAAATTAACGTAGTCTTCAAAACGTAATAATGTACTGGGTATTCAATTTAGTAGAAGAATTAAAAGCGGTAACACTCTAACTTACAACAACATTTATGTAACATTCCTAATTTTCAAAAAAATCTTATCACCTTCTCCTTAAACATCTAACCTACCATCGACCGCAAATCAACCTCTATATATTTTTTATTTTTGTAAATTGCGATTAATATACTTTAATTTTTAGTCTAACGATTCGGAAGTTATAGTAGTGGCTGTAAAAGATAATACATTAACATTCAAAGACTTTAAAACGGCCTCAGCTCCTTGGGTCTCAGAACTATACAGTGCTATACAATCTGCATTGATCAGCAATAAGAGAGTATTTTTGATATCATCTGTCGTTCCGGTCGAAGGTTTTAGCAATTTTGTTCGGATGTTAAGATCCCAACCGAAAATGGACTGTTTGAGAGTTCTGTTTAATTTAGATACAAATCTGAAATTAGACCAAAACAAAATTTTCAGGAAGGACTTGACATTGACCGTTATTAAAAATGGCATATTTACATCATATTTGCCAATATCAGTAAAATTCAAAGAAAATGCGAATTTACCAACTAACACTAGTAATCTGATTAAAGACAGCGACACTACTGTTGCGTATTTAGCACTAAACCGTAGTGACGAAACTCTGAATGTTATAAATGAGAGAGAAGAATTGGGAATACTGGATTATTCTGGAGTAAACAGTGAAAATAAGAACATTATGGGATTAGCAGCTTTTGATAAAGACAATAGCAAGTTAATAATGGATCCAATATTGAAATGGGAGATACCAAGTTATTACTCTCTTGAGGATGGTGCTACTATTCCATACGCGTATGCTGTGGTAAGTACAGAAATATCAAATAATGCTATCGATAATATTGAAAATATTTTCACTACTTATTTACATATTAAAATTGAAAAACTTTGTAGTCTCGCCAACAAAATTGGCGAGACTGCGAAGGGATTTAAATCGGGCTTGTTTACTTTGAATTAAAATATTAACGAAGGAGCACGCATTAGGCGCGTTTCTCACTATAACGTAAGTCGAGCCACCGCACCACGCCGGCCGCTCTGTCACATAAAACATGAAGGAAATGTAAATGGGAGATGGACGTTGCCACGACGCAACAGTGACGTTATGTCCCATCGTGTTCCATCTAAATTTCTTCATATATGCTTCTTCTTTAATCTTTTTATTCAAAACGTTTGATTTCCTTTAACATATATTATATTATATTTAATATTTTTTGGATTTATTTAATGCTGCGTTAAAAAAAATAATTAATAATAATTAAAAGCTATTAAAAATACACATTTATAGTAATAATTATCATAATATAGTAATCGCAAAACAATTTCCGATTTACGTTATCAACTTTGAGTGAAAAGCGATGGCGACAGCGCTGCCAGATTATGATGGATTTATGTACTACTTTATAGTAGAAGTATTTAAATTTAAGGTAGCAGCTACTCGCTACAAATTGAAATAAGGAGAAATAACTTTGAAAGCTTACCAATCAAACTTGCTTCTCTAACTGCTGTCAAGGATAAGGACCTTTATTGTCACGTTTTCGTTCAAAATAGTTTATGATGGCAGCTACAAGCTCTTTGCTTCGATTGTTTAAATGCTTCGGCATATTTTCAACACACAATTTCAAGAAATGCAATACAAAAACTCGAAAATTTAGTTCTTAAAAGAACTGTTTGTGTCTGAAAGTAGATATTTAAAAAAATACTATGAAAATCGGCAAAAAAACAGAATTACTCGCAAAGATTCAACAACCACACGACATTATACAAAATAATGACAAGTATGACAAAACGTATGATAGTTGTCAAATAATAAACGATAACGTTGCCGAACACGGCGCAATGTGACCAACACAGCGATAATAAAATTCGGTTTAAACTAATTTTTCCAAATTTAATCTAAATAAAATAGCAGTTACAATCATTTACTCTATAAAGTAAAATGAAGAGCTTCTCTGTATCTTAAATTATACAGCAAATTTAAAAAATTTTGTCAAAATTTCATTTAGTCAGGTTTATAGGCTTTAGTGTCAATTTCGCTATGATTGGAGACGTGCATCCGAAAATGTTTTGCGATTAGTTTATTTATATAATAATTAAGTAAAATGCATAAAATTGACATATCTTATTTATTTTTAAGTAGTAGTAATTACCAGAATAAAAATACATTAGTTCATTGCAAACGAATTTTTTAACCGATTAAATAGCTACTAGTAGCATATAACTATCTGTTTTGATTTTTTTGCCTGCTAACGATGGCACACTGCATATATTTTTTTAATCTTCTCTCTTAATTTTATAATAATTTCACTAAAATTCAAGTTCTAACTCAATGTCTTTTCTGATTTATATAATTTTTAATAAGAAATTATCTAAGTCACAGAAAAGCGCACCAAACTCGCCGAAATTCAAATTCGTTACGAGAAATGTCCAACAACATATATGTTAAACAAAAGTGACAAAATAGATATTTCATGACGTAGCTTCCGTCTTTCATACAGAATAAAAAAATAGTATTTGATTCTTTCTTTATTCTTCTTATTCTTGTGTTTTATTTTCTCTAACCAAAATTGATACCTAACTAATAATGAGCTGCCTTTACATTTGTAGGCTTCGTATATTCTTCATGTAAAAGGTCAACTTAAACATGGAGATACGGTATTGATTCATGCTGGATGTTCTCCTATTGGCATGGCAACGATCTCAGTGGCATTAGGATATGGTTGTAAAATATTTACTACTATATCTACAGATTATCAATATGAAGTCATTAGGAAACATTTCCCAAATGTAAGTTTTAATAATTATTTGTCTTACTAAGTCTTTACCTACAATATTAACTAAGTTAGTCCGAAAATTAATGGTACCTTCCAAATGTATGGTATGTCCAAAGCCTGCAATTATTTAAAGTTGAAGCTGCTAATCTTTATGTTATAACTTACGCATCTTATAAAACACAAAATACGTTACTACAATGCGTTATTTTAATTTTAGCTAACAGATTATCAGATTTTGAATTCTGAGAATTCTTCCTTTGAACCATTTATTATGAATTATACTGGTGGAAATGGCGCTAACCTGATTGTCAATTGTTTATCTGGAAATCTTCTTTCATCCTCATTAAATTGTGTTGCTAGTTTTGGAAAGTTTATCCAGCTAGGTATGTATAATATGTATATTTTTGTGAACAATTGGCACCTTACTGGTACATTACATATACATAATCATGATTTTTATTGTATATAACGTAAGATCTTGATTAACATTGTGATTTCGGAGTTACATTATCTGTAATAAGTAGTAACCGCCACACTGACTGAGAAGAACTTTCACCCTGTCGGCGGTTTAACTTTAAAAACCAACTGGAAGAGTTTTATAGAAATTCGAGATGAAGAGATTTTAAGCCAATCGAACTAATTCTAATCTGACAGTTCAAGTCTCCGGATTTGGCCTGTGGCCTGTGGCTTGGTCCGCAATAGTCTTGATCTACCACAGACTTGGTCCGCCACACAAATACAAAATTTTATTCGTAGACTAAGTCCGCAGGCTAAATCTTCTGGTGTATGATGGGCTATGGAGTGCTCAACCCACAGTTCTCAGAACATCGGCACTTGCATTATGCTACAATGCTGCAGAGTATGCCTGTCTTGTTTGGTACAGATCTGCTCATGCCAGTCATGTGGATATTGCCTTGAATGAGACATATAGAATAACCTGGAATAACATCAAGATGCCTGAAAGTCACACCTACCTACAAACTCTACAGCTTGGCTGGGATAGCCCCTCATATATAAGAAGGGTGCTACCACGAATACAGGGAGGCATAAGAGAGAACTAAACGCAGCTTATCCGTTGCATGGACATCAGCCTCCCCTAAATAGACTAAAATCTAGAAAAGGCTTCCTAAAAATTACTATAGATATCGATCATGGATCCCACCTTTTGAAGCCCTCCCTTAGGAAGACATGGAAGTCCCTAACAGACTAAGAAGTGGGATTCGCGGAACAAAATATAACAAAGCCAAATAGAATTATCTTAGCGATCCATCAACATTATAGGAATGTGGCATCGAACAATCCACCAGGCAGTTAGACAACTCTTCTCAGTAGACTTAGTTTCTCCTACACGCTAGATGACCAACTAGCCAGAGAAAATGTCGTTGGTGTTGCTAATTTTTGTCCCATAATACTTAATATTTGTACTCTGTGTATAATTTTACGTATGTGATACCGAATTTTATCTTTACATTTTTATCCGCTTTGTCTTTCTCTTATACATTTTGTCTATTTTTTATTTTTATACATTTCTTTTATATGCAACGCTTTTGACACGAATAAATAAATAATAATATCTGAGAAGACTGATAAACACCAAACCAGTAAGATCCAATATAAACAGACAGTACATTATCAAGTTTCATGAGAGTGGTTTTTCGTATATTGGAGGTACAACGAGACTCTAGGCCATTCGACTTATTAAAGAACAAAAAAAACACGATAAGAACTCGGAACATGGTAATAAAACAAAATTGTGCAAAACCACGCAAAATCAACAATCACCGCTTGATTTGATCACGAACAAAAATATTACAATATTAAATGAACTAGATTGAAAGAAGAGTAAGGTTAAGGAAGCTTTAATTGGGCGTATAAAAACTTCCAATATTTGGTGCCTTCTTATAGAATGGGAAAAATAAATTTAAATGAAATAGGTACTCACTATAGTTTTAGCTATCAGTTAAAAACTGATTAAAACATCGTTACAAAAAATAGAGAAAATGCAAGTCCGAAATTAGAGTTTTAACTAGTAAATATTATGTTACGGCTTTTTAAATCAATATCTACTCATACAATCTATTTACAGGTCAATACGATTTGGAAGACAATAGTATAGGCATGTACTGTTTTCTGAGAAACGTATCGTTCTTTACCGTGGATGTGACAAGTCTATTACAACAATCTGACGATGTTAAACAAGAGATACGTAAGACAATCATCGACGGTTTAGAAAACTACCTTATAAGACCTCTATGGAGAACCTTATACGAATCACAAGATTTTGAGAAAATTCTGCGGTATGTATATAGTTTTATTGTTTTTTATTTTAAAAATAAAGAACGTCTGGATACGACGTACGTTAATCTATACAGGGTGTCCCACTAAGAACAGCTCTCGGCTGTAAAATAATAATTTGACATTAATACTATTACGTCAAAAGCAACTTTTTTCCAAAGCCTAAAATGACTTTACTGAGGCATCGTTTCTTGTCCGCTATTATTAACATCTTAATTATTAGATATTAATACATCTGGTATTATGGTATTCAGGTATAATGTCGATTTTAAAATAAACTAATCGTTTCTATCTCCTTTTTTTATTAGAATGGGTATAACCACGAAAGCTACTGATACCCTGTTATAAAAATAAGGTAATTAAGGGCTTATTTTTTCGTATTTACTATAATTTTGTTAATATCTTCGGTTTGAAAGGAGACATCAAGATGCGGTTTTCGCTAACTTTTTGAGCTTTTATTACTCTTTACTATCAGCTAAAATAACATATACTATCGGATTTTTTTTTTTTTAAAAACGCACAGTGTTGTAAGACAGCGCTTATTATTATTATTATGGTGTAATATAGAGTAAGGAACGCCTTTTTAAACGACTCCTCGTTTGTTGGATTCTGATTATGCAGTCCGGAGTTATTAATATTTAAATAGAAACAGATATAACCTTCCCCACCACTTTATTTTAGCAGACAGATGAAAATGGTTCTAGCTAAAAAAATCCAAAATTTACTGAAGATTACGAAGTTATTATTTATACTACCCTGTGACGACTTTTTCTGTCATCACTCAAACAGAAAGAAAAAGGTATCCGTTGCTCAGGGTTAGAGTAGAGCTGGGTACGTAGGTAAGGCTTGTGACCTGTGGTGACTTAATAATGTTGTTAAATAATAAAATAAAAGTAATAATGTATAGGCTGCAAAGATTCTAAAATTGATGTTAAGTATTCAAATAGTAATGGTCAAAGACAGTAAAAAGGGCGCCACTTACTTTGAGTATGAAAAGGTAAAGTAAGAAACCAGTAAGAAAATTTGATCATGAAATAGCTAAAATAAAATAATCAACAGCAATAAGGGTCTATTATGTTCATCAAGAATAAAAGTCAGATATAACTATCCTACGTTGAACATTTATTTAAAGACGAACACAATTATCAATCAGTTTAAACCCAGTTTCAATTATCCCAATGAAATCGTTAGTTACTTTAAGTAAACTCAAATTTAGTTAGAGTTCTCTCCAGTATACTATACTACGTAATATATAAACAGGTGAAATTTATGTAAGTACCAATACGATGATGTTTCGAAACAAGTCGTGTACAATAACCTTCAAAAATGAATCCGTGTTAGCGATTCTCACATAAAAGATCATACTGAAGTAAAACGTACCGTTAAGGACAAAGCATGACTTATAATGTTAACTAAAAGGTAAATTTTGACTATAATATATGGAATAAATGACAACAATTTACAGAGATATTCAAAATATTGTCTCAAAGTAAAAAGAATTTAGGGAATACCTTGTGTGTTGAACTTAGAACTTATCTGTATTTTTTTTTATTTTCTGACGTAGTGAACAGGTAGGCTGGCAGTCTCCAGACTAACGGAAGTGGATGTAGACTCTTCGATAGTAGCAGGAGTCTTCGATATCAGTAGAATAAATGTAGAGTCATAAATACTGTCTCAAAAGTGGTTACTCATATGCCAATTACTTATACGTCAATTTCTTATACGCCAGTTACTCTATATAAAAAAAACTCTCAGAACAGTCACCGAATACCAAAAAAAAATAACTTACGGTCTGAAAATCAGCTGTACACATTCCAAAATATAGCCAAACTATATGCTGATCCAAACCAGTAATGCACAATCAAACATTATCAAAATAAATAAAAAACGGGAATAACTGAAATAAAATTTAGTTAGACATGGCGATACAAAATGGTAGATACACTTACTGTGATCTTATTCCAGGAAAAGGCCAAAAAAAACACGAACTAGGCTCTGAACAGTATATTCTACAGGATTTCAAATCTCCACCTTTGGATACCTGTGCCTTTACTGTTAGGAAAAGTGTTTCAGAAAGCCCTTTTCTCTGAGATTCGTCGGACGCTGAACCACGCGTCTTTTTTCTGATCTCAATCTCTCGGAAAAAAGCAACCTCCTCCTTTTCGCAAAACGGAAGTCTTCGAATTGACAGGTCATATGACCAAAGGCAATTAAGTGAACTCTATCGTCTATACTGAATGAAATTTGTTTTTATGGAAAGGAACCGCTACCTGTACTGAATGAAGTTTAACATCTAGCGAATAGATGGCGCCAGCAATATTAAAATTTGGAATTTTATAAAAAGAAAAATAAAACGCTACACTGCCCCCCTCCAAAAAAAAGAAAGGCCCTCAAAGAGGACTTTCGCCCAAACACCACATAGGAAAACTAAACTAAGTTTGTACAGGGTTTTGGATTTTTCAAATGAAAATTTGGTGGATGATAACTTCGTGTATCACACGTCCATAAAGGAGTCACTATTGGTAAGTCGCAATCGGTATGTCAAATCAGTGAGATTACACAATCGGGAAAGTCAAATCACCATATAATCCAAATAAAAACATTCATATAAACTATATATGAAAACTAAAACTAAATCTAAACCTAAAAGTATGGGATAGGAAAAGAAAGAAAGAAAGAATCCCATGGAAGCGCAGATGTTCCTGAAGAAATCCTCAAGCTGATTGTCCGTACTCAACCCACCTAGTGTGAGGCAACGAAAGATTCACAAATCGCGTGTAATCAGTCATGCGACCCCTCACACCCAAGGAAGCGGAGAACAAAACAAACAACAAAAGAACCTCAACAAAAGCCATGCTACGGATCACTATAAGAGGTAAGTTTGGCGTGACCAAAACAAACTACCTTCGCCACAACCTGTGTGCTCACCGGTTAACCATTCAAGGTAACTCACCTGTATGAGAAAAAGAAAGGAAAATAACAATAGAAATCACAATAGATAAACATATAAAGGAAGAGAGAAAAGATTGTCACGAATGACCCAAAATATCCGTAACATAGGATTCCAGCCTATGAAACGCTATTGCAAATATGGAAAGAAAATCACAATCATACCCAATACACAGTAAACTTACGAAGTTATGAGGTCAGCTATGTCTCACCATTAGGTTGCAATCAGAATCATAACAACTTTTCGTTTTGTCACGAAGTCGTGTTCTCAAAATACAAGAATTGCTTAAATTTCAGATTCTTGTGAACTGAATGTCATAGAATGGAGCAAATGGCACAAAACCATATGAGTGATTAACAGAATTACCATCCCACAAAATATTTACTCAAAATTAGGTAATCTGTAGAATACTCGGAAAAAGAAAAATACTGCTATATGCTCGCATTTCTAAATAGAAATACTATATTATACTGAAAATATACGCAAAAAAACTAAATAACACAATAGTTATGCTGATTCGCGACAAATCCGTAAAAACGATAAGCGAATTGTTGTATAACTTTTTAATATAAACTAAAAAAACTAAAATATAATCTATGTATCCTTTAGACTAAACCCTAAAAAGGAATCGGACATAATAGATTATTTAAATTACTGTGACGTAGTAGAGACATTTCCTGTATCATCGTCGTCAATCATGTGACCTTGGTATGGTTTAAGATCTTTTATATGCCAGCGGCCTGCGTTATTACCATCCTCGTCTACTAAAACATAAACTAAATTCGAAATTTTCTTTCGTACTGAAGATAAAACAAAACGAGGGGCTAACTTGGCTGAAAAGTTAACACCAGCATTTGATAAGACCTTATTACGTCTCCAAACCAAATCACCAACCTGAAAAGATAGATCACGTCTACGCAAATTATAAGACTTTGAGTTTCTTTCGTAAGCAGCATGAAGTTTCTTACGGACTTCGCTAAAGACACTATAAAGATTTTTGAGTTCTGAAGCGTAAGAGTTGCGATCGCCAGGCATAATTTCAAAATCTTCAGAGAACTTAACTTGACCATAATAATTACCAGAGATGGGAATATGCCTACCGAAAACTAAAAACGAAGGAGAAAAACCTGTGACCTCATGTTTAGAAGTGTTTAAAGCAAACTGAATATTAGAGAGTTGAACATCCCAATCTGTATGTTGTTTAACATAAGTTCTAATAGCTGTTCCTATTGTTTTATTCATTCGCTCAACAAAGTTACATTGAGGAGAATACACAGCATTATACCAGATCTTCTGAACTTGATATTTCTTTGCTAAATCTCTGAACTCTTTAGCAACAAACTGAGGACCATTATCACAAATTATATATTGAGGTACTCCATAAGTAAGGAAAACTTCACTCTCAAGATACTTCACAACATACGGAGATTTTGATGAACGTAACGGACACAGAAGAACATACTTCGAAAACCAATCGCCAACAACTAAAAGCCACTTATGACCCTTTTTTGATCTAGGAAAAGGACCCATAAGATCTAAAGCGATTGTCTGAAAAGGCATATTAACTTGTTTTTCTCTTCCCATCCTACCTAACGGCATAGTATTTGAAGATTTCTGAGCTCCACAAACACGACAACTCCTAACAAATTTAAGAACATCGGCTCTCATCTTGGGCCAGTAAAATTGTTCTTGAAGTCTTGATAAAGTCTTATAGAAACCCAAATGCGAACAAGTTGGCGGATTATGACATGATTCGATAATATTACGACGTTGAGGACGTGGAACAACCTTCTTCCATTCTTGAAGATTTGATGAAAATGGTAGCTGTACCGGAATAAACTTAAAAAGAAAACCATCTTCAACTTTCCACTGTGGAAATGAACTAGGCGAAGCTAAAATCTTTCGCTTCATTGTCTCATACCATGCATCAGTATGATCTAAATCTATATTCAAAATAGAAATTTGTGGACATACAAAGGAATCATTATCTGAAATATCTGAAGGAGAATCATCGCCAGGTATTCTACTAAGAAAATCAGGAACTACGTTATG